GTGTGCATAGAAAAAGTCTTAGATCTTTGAGTTCAGCTCATGAAAAATGGGGGCAAAAACAAAAGTGTTGCGTTTATAATTTTGTTCAGTGCAGATAGATAGATATAGAGATAGACAGACAGACAGACAGACAGGCAGATAGACAGGCAGATAGATAGATAGACAGACAGACATAATGTGATGTTAGGAAAATAGCATCTTTGCTCGGACACCTGCTGAGAAATTGTTACTTCAGTTTCCTGTTGGGATGTGGGCCACTATCTCTAAACACAAGTAAAGCCGGAGAGGAAATGCTGGTAAACAGAACATGATTAAAGAGGCCATGTTAGTTGTCACTGTCATGATGAAAGAGAAGCTTAATGAGGTGTTGATATGGTGAGTCTAGCAAGCCACACCCAAGCCTGTCCTCTAGAAATGAATGAAGATTTTGCTCTCCTTTCTCTCGCCTGGAAACTCCAGGGACACAACAAACTACAAAGACATACTAATGCATAATGTAAGACAAACAGACTGAACAAGACCGATGGCACGTCATCTAGTTCCCTATGCTGTTTTTCCTCTGAGTAGTGAGTGACATCTATTCAGAAGTGTTTGAATGAATTAAAGAAGAGACATTCAATGCTATACTGTGAAGAGGTATGTGTTCTCAAACAATTTTCTATGCACACATGTGTTCGTGTCAGATAAGATGAAAGCTAAAGCATCAAATGCAGTGGGAAGTGGAAAATCTCTAGGCTTTAGACTCAAATAATCCTTTATTTACTCAAATACCTGCTTATAGGTGAAAACACTGACATGAAGAGCTTTAAAAGACGGAAAGTGATTCTGAAAAGTAACAATTGGTTTTGGAAAACGGAAACAGCTTAAAAAGGTCTGTGTTTCTAATGAAGACTTACCCCAGCCAATGAGGAGGTAAATGATGAAGTGTCTGTTCTCAGAGAAGATGACCATCAGTAGAGTATGTAGGTAGAGGCCTTCTACCAGCAACCAGTAGAAGTTTGCCATGATAAAGTAGTTGAAGATGATCAGGCTGGCCTTGCAACCAATCTAAACACAAGCACAGAGAACTTCAATGTGCACTATGTGTGTCTCAGAAATGACAAAGACTGTGACAAACAAACGTGAGCACAGATTTGGGTTTTTAGGGTCTGTATAGTGACAGAAATAACCACCTTTTAAAACCGATGAAGCATAAAATGTGTTTAGTTGACTATGCATGCTTTAAGAAACTGGCTTAGCTCAGTTTAGACCCTTAAAGGTGAAGTGTGTAATTTTTTCAATGTTAGAATACTATCTCAAATCCCACTTTAATGTATGCAGACAGCTCAAAGTAAACCATTTGTAGGTGAACAAATATTTCTGTTTGTTTGAAGCTTCTGGTAGGACAACTTCTGGTTGAACCAATGCTGTGAGGAATGGGAATGGGATTACTTGTTTGACCAAACAATGAAAGACTAACTGACATGGTGTTGAGAAGCAATGATTATTTTT